TTTGTACGTGCGCGTTATGCGTACGTTGAGCGATAGTTTGCTTGGATGTTTTCACATCAACACAATTAATTTTAAGGCATCAAGGTTTTACGATTATTCTTGAGGTCAATGCACATCCTTTAAACAGAACCGTTTATATTTTTGAAATTGACCTCCCGAAGCAGATCGGGCGCAATGCAAACAAGAGATAGCAGTATAGATCTCATACCAAAATCCAGTTCCGTTCCCTGCAAGTTGAATTGCGGCAGCTTGGATATGGTCCATATGTTCATCAGCATTTGCTTGGTGATTGCCACAGAACGCAAAGATGATGGCTTTGAACCCAATTCGCAAGGCACCGTCCAATGTACCAGGTGACGCTGGAGCCATGGCTGTCTCGTCCATGGCTTCACCCTTTAGCACAAAAGGGTCTTCGGATTGTCCCTGCATGTTCAATACTCCTTGCCACAAAATCCTCATGAGGTCAATCTGCCATCCACGATTCATCAGCTGGAGGCTTCGAATGGTGTGTCGGGCCTCGGCTGCAGTGGACTCGAGGGAATGTCCCGTGACAAGAGCGTAATCTAGCACGTGCATGAAGCAATACAACGCCATTTGGACATCCCCGACCTGTAAACTGTAGTGATAGTTCTCCTCGTACGCCTTCTGGACCCATTGGATATCACGGGTGTGACTCATCAGGCAGTATATGTACATCTTCGAGGCTGCCTTTGAGTAGCGATCCTTTGAGCGATCCATGATTCGTTTGGCAAACTTAGCATTGGTTGCGAATGAGCCTCGATAGCAATAGGCGTTGGCAGCCTCATCGCATACTCCAAAGGTATTTACTAGAGACGCCATCTTCGAAGTGACGGCTGGAAGCTCTGTTTTGTTCGTCATGTAGGTCAAAATCAGCAATGATGACAGGATTTTCATTGCTGCTATTGCATTTTCATCTATCATGGTTGGAAGCGTGGACACCATATCTGGATTCAAGTTCCTGTCGTACGCTTTGATGACGCTGAAGCAATTGAAGACAGACAGCTTTCTCCTAGTTTTCATCAGAGGGTGATTCAATTGCTCCAACACTTCGTTCGCTAGCTCTTTTGCGGCCAGTGGATCCCGGCCAGAAAGAGACTCAAGCATTGCAGAGTACAACGGGAGCCTATCCTTGAGCGGAATATCTGGTTGTCCCAGCACTTCGTCGTACAAAGATTGCATCGTTTCAACATTTCCGAGGACTCCATGTGCCTGAATTGCTAAAGTGTGGAGCTTCGTGGACAACTTGTATTGCGGCTGCCAATGCCCTTCGGGAAGAAGACTAATGGCAACGTCAGAGTAGCTAGCTGCAATCTCAAACCCTGATAGTCTCATAGCTCGCTGTGCTGCCCGTAGGTTCAGCTCAGCAAAGGTGACAGCAGACCCGGACGACACTTCTGTTCCGATCCCGACATTCAGTAGATTAACCACAACAAACAGAGACTGGTCCATTTCTTGTTTTGAAAGTCGACGAAGCAAGATCTTACCCACTTGGAAGCGCGTCTTAGTGAGTCCAGTGGCACCGGCGATACAAAGAGCTGCTTCTTGGACTCCATCGTGAACCCAGCGATATCCAGCGTTGTCAATTTTGATGAACCACGCCTCAATAGCCTTCGTCAACCATTTCGATAGCTGGCTGGACTTGGGAGCGCCTTCTTGGCTTGCAAAGTAATCGGTGACAACCTTGGACAAGACTTCTTCTTGAAAGCTTGCACCTAAACATGCTGCGAGTTGAAGCACGTCTCGCATTTGCTTGGGCAGATTCTTCATGCGTTGCTACAAAATGTCAACCACGTTTTCAGTGGCAATAGTTTCGAGCTCAATGTCGCTTTCGTCCCATACCCAACACTTTTCCACCTTCGAGTACACAATATGGTGTTGATTCTTGAGCATGTCGATAAAATTTAACACAAAGAAGGCATTGCCCCCAGTCCTGCGGTGGATAATCTCTGACAAGTCGGAGGGTTCGATAGCTTGGCAGCTGCAGAAGCTCAACCAAGATTTCATCAACTTGTTTCATTTTGAGATTACCAATTTCGATCTTTGTAGTATCGAAATTATAGTCCTTTTGCTTTTCGTCAAGAGTCTCGATCATCTTGGTGACTACGTGTGTCTGATCCACTTCGTTTGATCGATACAGGGCAATGAGCATAAAGTTGGAGATGGATTCATCGGTCATCAATACCTGAATGAGGTTGATGGATGTCAAGTCGGCCCACTGAATGTCATCCAAGACCATCGCAAGAGGCTTGAAGAATGTTGCCACGCTGCGGAAGAAGGTGCGAATCGCATGGTTGAGACGTTCCTTGTTGGCTCCGTAGTCTCCACCGGCGATATCTTCCTGTGCCAAGAGGAGATCAGATGAACCAACAATGTCTTCAATCTCAGGAAGGATCATAGCGAGTGTGGGCAACTCTGGTCCAACATTATTTATGATCATCTTGCGAATATCTTCAACGTCCATGTCCTCGGAAGAGTTCTTGCGATGCAGTATTTCGCCACAGATGTGACGTCCAGCTGCTGCAATACCAGCATATGGCTCATCGCGCAGCTTTTGATCGAACTTGCCCATATCAAAGATTCCGTTGTTCTTGACAATAGGGTCGGCAACAGTCGCAGCGAGAGCTGTCTTACCAGTTCCTGATATTCCTGAAATATAGACGAGCTTGTTATTTCCGGTGTTTACAAGATCATCGAGGCATTTTCGAATCGCCTTCGTCTCCTTCTGGCGTCCGTACAGTCCGAGCTGAGACATTTTGGTTTCTAGCTCCTTCTCTTGACTTCCTCGAGAAGAATCGGCGATTGAACTTATCTCATTGCGATTCGGCATCGAAATGGAAGTTGTGTCGTTGCCAACAGAACGTAAGTTTGGCCTACTGCTGGCAGCTTTGCTGAATATAGACACACTTCCTTGAATGGAGAAGGTAGCAGAACCGTCAGCATCCAATCTCGGAGCGAGAACAAATGGACGAGAAAAAAATTCGAGGCAAGAACGAGAACAACTGCTGGGGCGAGGAGAGCAGGAACGGCACTTTTCATATTACATGTTGGTTGTTGAAGTCTTTTATGACTTTCGAACAGTATTTTTGCGAAACTTTTGGGGGATTTAATATGTCCGGTCACGAACATTCAAGAACAACACGACTTAGAGTCACGCGATTGGATTTCGCCAGATCTTTACCGTTGTGGTATCTCGCTGTGGTACCAAGTTCAAAGTGTTCTCATGAATTTCAGAACCTCATAAATTCACTTGTACGAAACTCTACCAGCCATGTCTATCTCAATTCTACAAGCCGGTCCTGCTATCATGTATGGCGGCCTTGCCCTTGGATTGGGCTATGGAACCTTTGTGCGTGAGAAGGAACCCTCCTGGAAGATGCCAGCCATCATATCCGCAGGATTCTTTTGTTTCACCGCGTTCACTGTCTATCAAGAAGGCCTCCTCGGTGTGATCCCCAATCATACTTCGAATTACTGGGGCAATCAAGTCTGGTATGATCTGCTGTACTCCGTGGGCCTCTTTTGGTTTGCTGTTGTCGAACGTGCGAAGAAGGTCGGAATGCCTTTGTTGCCTTGGTTCATTTATGTCATTTGCACTGCAAGCATTGGTGGATTGCACATGTATGCTCGAATCTTGTACCTTGAAGAAGAGAAAGGTAAAAGGGATGATGGTCCTATTAATGCCAACTCTGGTCTACTCTAAAAATGTGTCATTTGCGATGGATTCTAAGGTTTAGCTCATAAGAAGCTATAAATTTGAAGGAAACTAGGACTATACAGCGAGTCGTTCGATATTTCAAAAAAATGTTCTCCTTTCATTATCAGTGCAGTATTATTGCGTTTATCAGGTATACGCAGTGCAATGCAGTGCAGTACCCCACTGTCGTTACCGCTGCTCCTATGAGGTTAGGAAACAGCACGCTAAATCATACCAAATCCTGGGCACGCTAATTTATCCCATTTATTTCCGAAATGTTATTACAAGCTGGCTTGACTAATTTCATGATACTTGACATTCAAAGTGCGTCCATGAAAGGGAAGCCCGTCCTCTCTCCAGACGTCAAAGATTAAGCCATTATGCTGAAATGACACGTACATGTGCATTCCATCGGGTGAAAAATCCAGTCCTGTCGTTTCGTCACTTAGCGATTCACTCTCCAGTATGCTGAAATACCATCCATGTTCATCCCTCGCATGGACACCATTTTCCTTGCCGCCCTCTTCGCAAAAGTACAACAAACCATTGTGAATCAATCGCTTCATTTGATCGGGATGTCCATCAAAGATGCCTGATACTGTTGAATGAACTTCATAGGTTTTCGAGTCCAAATTCAAAATGAACAGCTCTTTCTGTACCTTCGACACGAAAAAGAGTTGATCGTTGTTGACATCAATTCCTTCGGAATGCTTGTAATACTGTTGAGAATTCATCTTGGCAGTTTCACGATCGGTGGTCCAGTAGTAGCTTCCAGACGTGTTGTTATTCTCAGCAGTCGGTTCGAGCACTAAATATTCTAGCGTTCCCAGACCATGCAGAATTTTCCAAGGATCTTCCCAGTCGGGATTGTTGGGAATAATTCGTCGTAAAGGGCCCCGTTCCTTATCTTCGGTCACATAGAACGCGGGTTTTTGAGGATTGCGAGCATCGTAGGCAAAGGCTTCGAAATATCCTGTATCCAGTGTTGACAGTGTCTCGGGAGGATGAATACCAAAAGGATCGACTTGATAAGCCTCGCCACCATTGATTTCTTCACAGGAGACTATGGAATTCAACGAATGTAATGGAATATAATTGGTTAGTGAATGATGACATTGAATCCAACGCCCCGCCTTTTTTCTTCAACACTTACCCCAGGTTCCCCACGGTGTAGGTCCTCCACTGCAATTCATGGTGGTTCCATCCAATAATCGTCGATAATCCACTACATTTCCGTCCTTGTCAAAATAAATGGCCCCCACTCCTCCTCTTCCCGTTTCTTTTACCTCCGAATTGGACACATACACCCAGCCTCCAGTTTCGAACCATGGGAAAATGGCGGCCCCGTCTGGTTTTTCGTGAAAGTCTTCTTTGCTAGTGGATGCGGGTGAAAATTCAGTCAGAGTGACTGGTTTTCCTGAAGTGGCAATAATTCGACTGCTCAGGCCTTCACTCAAGAGTAATCCGTTGGATTTTACCGTCAATTTGCCAGGAATATATGTGGCGACATATACTTCTGTCGGTGACATGCTTTCCTTAGTAGGTGCTATAGTGGGTGGTGACGTAGGAGCACTGGTTTTGGGTGGTAGCGTTGGTATCCGCGTCGAAACCGGGAATGCGGTCGGGTTGGGTTCCTTATTGGAGGGTGCCTTGAAGGGCGCTTCTGCAGAAATGTCGGCAACATTGTCCGCATTTTGGCTATTGCTTGTTTCGTTCGACTCGGGATTTTCATTCGAGGACAAGGCGATTGCCATGACAGCTACAACGACGATTGCCACCATTGAACAAACCAAGAATTTGTACTTCAAGGGCTTGGGAAAAACTCTTTGCTTGCGTAAAGCTCTTTGCCACCATGAATCCACTGATTCCTCTTTGTCACTATGCGGAAATACTTCCAATCGACTACCATGCTGAACTTCCCAAATGGATATTTGATTTTCTTTTTCGCTTGACGAAGAGGAGGTTACAGTATCAGTAGAGGCTTTGAAGAGTTCCTCGCTCCGTCGATATCGCAAGCTTCTTTGACGGGATACCGAGTAATCCCGATTACTGTCTCGTGATTTTGATGAATGATGTGGCCTCCTATGTCTGTGTTTACGTTTTGAAGAATTTGACAGGTCTGAAGAATGGCTGTTGCGGCTAGACCGATGGCGATGATGATGGTGGTGGCGACGAGCAGTACCTATGGCATCATCTCTGCCTTCATGATTGCGGGAAGTGGAATGTCTCTTGCTGCTTTTGATGCCACCCTCGCTTTTGCCCGAGCTGCTATTTCGAACTCGTCCGTGATGCCTAGAATCTCGGTAGTTGCGCCGATGCTTGCGAGGACTTGATATCGAGTTGGCTGTGTCACCATCTCCGCT